GAAGAGTTGGTTTTTTTGAAAGAACAAATAAAATTGATAAACCCTTAGAAAACCTTATCAAAAAAAGGAAAGAAAAGGCTCAGATTCATGAAATCAGAATTGAAAAAGGCGAAGTCACAGCAGATACAACAGAAATCCCTAGGATCATTAATACCTACTTTTAGAAGCTGTACTCTAATAAAATGGAAAGCACAGAAAAATGGACAGATTTTTAAATACTTATGAATTACCAAAGTTGAGCAAAGAAGATAAAAACATTTTAAACACCGCAATTACAATCAGTGAAATTGAAAATGTAATTAAAAACTTACCAACAAAGAAAAGCCCAGGTCCTGATGGATTCACTGCTGAATTTTACAAGACATTTAGAAAAGAACTACTACCATTACTCTTCAAACTTTTCAATGAAATTGAAAGGGAAGCAATACTTCCAAATTCATTCCTGGAAGCAAGTATCACTTTGATTCCCAAACTAGGGAAAGAGGCAGCTAAAAAAGAGAACTACAGGCCAATCTCCTTAATGAATATGGATGCAAAAATCCTTAACAAGATATTAGCAAACAGAATACAGAGGATCATCAAAAAGATCATACATCCTGACTAAGTCGTATTTATTCCAGAGAAGCAAGGATAGTTCAACATATGTAAATCAATAAATGTAATACACTATATTAACAAAGTCAAGGACAAAAACCACATGATCTCGATAGATGCAGAAAAAGCATATGACAAAATTGAACACCAATTCTTGATAAAAACCCTGCAAAAAAATTGTAATAGATGGTCTTTATCTCGACTTAATGAAGGCTATCTATGAAAAACCAACAGCCAACATCATATTAAATGGCCCAAAACTGAAAACCTTCACGTTAAAATCAGGAAAAAGACAAGGATGCCCACTACACCACTCCTCTTCGATATAGTTCCGGAAACATTAGCCATAGCAGTTAGACAAGAGAAAGAAATTAAAGCAATAAAGATAGGAAAGGAAGAAGTTAAACTGTCATTATTTGGTGACGATATGATACTCTACATTGAAGACCCAAAAATCTCCACCAAAAGACTTCTAGACTTAATTGACACATTTAGCAGAGTAGCAGGATACAAGGTCAACACCCCAAAATCAATAGCCTTCTTGTACACAAATAACGGACTCACAGAGAGAGAAATAAGGGAAACAATTCCTTTCACAATAGCATCCAAAAAAATGAAGTATCTAGGAATCAACCTAACAAAAGAAGCAAAAGACCTCTACATTGAAAACTACAGGACTCTGAAAAAAGAGATTGAAGAGGATATAAGAAAATGGAAAGACATCCCCTGCTCCTGGGTAGGAAGAATCAACATAGTGAAAATGGCCATATTACCAACACTTCTATACAGATTCAATGCTATGCCAGTTGAAATTCCAACACTATACTTCACAGAACTAGAAAGAAGAATCCAAAAATTTATTTGGAACCATAAGAGACCTAGAATAGCAAAAGCCATCCTAGGCAACAGACACATAGCAGCGCATGTAACAATTCCCAATTTGAAACTTTACTACAAAGCCACTGTGATAAAAACAGCATGGTACTGGCAAAGAAACAGACCTTAGGATGAGTGGAACAGACTGGAAGACACAAAAACAAATCCAGATGTACTCAGCTACCTCATCTTTGACAAAGGAGCTGACCATCCCCACTGGAGGAAAGATAGCCTCTTTAATAAATAGTGTTGGAAAAACTGGATCTCAACCTGCCAAAGATTAAAACTAGACCATTATCTTTCACCATGCACTAAATTAAAATCCAAGTGGGTTAAAGATGTAAATATTAAAACAGAAACAGTAAACTTGCTGAAAGATAAGTTAGGCAGAACTCTTGAAAACATTGGCATCGGAAAAGACTTTATGAACAAATCCTCAGTAGCACAGGAACTAGCAGAAAGAATCAACAAGAGAGATCTCTTCTTATTAAAAACTTCTGTACTGAAAAAGAAACCATCAGCTGAACTAAGAGGACAACCTACAATGTGGGAAAAACTTTTTACCAGCTGCTCCTCAGACAAAGTACTATTATCTAGAATATATAAAGAACTCAAAACATTATCAGCCCCCCCAATATAAAGACCCGTTTAAAAAATGGACATCTGAAATGAACAGACATTTCTCAGACAAAGAAGTAAAAGCAGCAAGTAAATATATGAAAAAATGTTCCACATCAATGGTCGTGGTCATTCGAGAGATGCAGTTGAAAACAACATTGAAATTCCACCTCATCCCACAAAGAATGGCTGCTATCAAGAAATCACACAATAACAAATGCTGGCGGGGTTGTGGGGAGAAAGGAACCCTTCTCCGTTGTTGGTGGGAGTGCAGACTGGTACAACCATTATGGAAATCAATATGGAGATACCTCAAAGAGCTGGGACTAGAGGTTCCATTTGACCCAGCCATAGCTCTACTGGGTATCTTCCAAAAGAACTAAAAGAATCATATCACAGTGACATATGCTCACGTATGTTTATAGCAGCACAGTTTGTAATAGCTAAAACTTGGAAACAGCCCATTAGCCCATCATTTGGAAACTGGATGAAGATGATGTGGTTTTTCTATAAAACGGAATACTACTCAGCCATAAAGAATGAGAAATTAGAGTCATTCATAGGAAAATGGATACATTTTGAGGATATACTCCTAAGTGAAATAAATAAGTCACGCATGTGTAAATACTGAATAGTTTCTCTGGTGTGAAAAACTATAATAGTACTCAAGCACCTAATGGGATAATTAACAAATGTGAAATAGGAAGAAAAGGGCTAAAGGTGTAGGGAAAATGGGAAGGGTAGGGAGGGGGAATAAGGGAAAAGAAAAAAATGTGAGAAAATGAAAAAATGGAATTAAAGTGTCTGTAAATGGCGCGGGGAGGAGGGGGTGAAGGGAGGATAGGGACAAGGGGAAAAAATGAGAACCAAGACCTGTCGTGTAATAGGTACAAGATCCCAGTAATGAATGTAACTGTACTGTATACCTAGTACCAATAAACTCAATTAAAAAAAAAAGGAAATGGATGCACCTGGAAAATATAATGATGAGTGAAATAAACCAGACACACAAGCTTAAATACCCTATGGTATCTCTCATTTGAGTGAGACAAAATACAAAGAAAATAATAAAGGATAGATGGAAAGGATCAAGTAGAGGGATCTGTTGCAAGAGCAAACTGATCCAAGGGAACAAGTGTGAGGGGTGAGAAAGAATGGAAGGAGAAATAAAGTTATGCCATGTACAGCAACTTAACAACCTCATTAAATGTAAACATTATATGCCATAATATGAGATAAGATTAATACCATAAATAATAATTAATTTGGTATAGAGGAATTAGAGGAGGAGGGAGGAAGAAGGGAGGGAAGGAGATTAAAAAAGAAACAAGCTTTAGTTCATACATGTACCCACTCCCTATGATGATTGTAAATTGCATGTACTGCAAACATACTAATAAAATTTTTAGAAGTTAAAAAAGCCATACAGACAAAAGTTTTATTTTAGTTCCATCCTCTTCCTATGTGCTGACACTGTTTCAAATATATATATATATATACATATATATACATATATATATGTATATATATGTGTGTGTATGTATGCATATAAATGTACATATATTTATTTGACATAAATTTATATAATACATAGAATCTAAATTTATTTTTATTACCAATATTGTACTATATATATATATATATATGTATATATATTTAGTACTAGGAAGGCTTCGAGTTAGGTGCAATTTTCCATATTTAAGTATCTTTGAACTGAATTACAGAGAATCAGTTAAATTTCCCAATGTTTGAGCTAGTAAGTGGCAGATTTGAAACTTGAACCAGGAAGTCTGGAACTAGAATTTCTGCTCTTTTAATTACTATGGCATGTAATGCCTTTCCACACTTCTTAGAAAGGCCACATATTAAGGAAGAGTCGAATAGGTAGTTAGAAGGTATTTTGGTTTTTGCAGCCATTTTCAGTCTGTTAAGAGAGCCCTATAGTATCTATTCTTAGACTTACTATCACATAAGATACATACCGATCTATTGAAAGTCCTGTAACAGAACTTTTTTTGTTACGGTTGAATTAATCTTGATGGAACTTAATCAGACTATTAGAGGTTCTCTCCCTTTATAAGTTACTGTGCCTAGAGTAGTGTCAGCATTCAAGAGAGTTAATATCTGATGTGTGCTTTCTGAGCATCATACACTGCTAATACATCTACATGTATTGTTATCTTTCTGTAACAACCAGACTGACACAAGCTAAAGCTCATGATAATCATTCATTGCCCAGTGCTGCTGAATTTTAGAGACTCCTCTTTTATGAAAGCAAGAACTTCTGAGTAATTTTTCCTTAAAATATGCTTTTCCTTGCTCCAAAGGTATTCATGAATATAAATAAGTGGACTATCTTACACGAAATGTGCCTGATACCCCGTGATTCTCAATGCACTTTAATTACAGAAGTATGTTAATTACTATAAGCTATATTACAATCTACATCTCTATCTAGAGATATATATGTCTCAAAAAATAATTTGTAGTAATGGTAATTCTGTCCTCAGAAAGGTGATTGTCTGGTGTTGATAAGTATGAAATAAGTTTGAGAAATAGAGGACCACTTTGATGAAGGATAACAATTTTCAGTATTTTGCATTTAAAGCCCTCTCTAAACTTAATGTTTGCTTCATGACATATTTTGTGTTGTTTTACAAAGATTGACGTATTTTCATTTGTCTATTAAAATTGAGAAATATGGTGTGCATATTAGATTTAATCAAATCCTGTGTCTGTGCTCATTTGATAATATCTCACTTACTTTCCTATTATATAATTTAATCTTAATAATTTGTTGTATAATTCCAATCCATTTCATTTTTTAGGCTATATGTGACTTTCAGTAGTAACAAAACTCAATTTAATAAAAATGTGGTATATATCTTCTTTTCTTTATATATTCTTTGTAGGCATTATTGAAGCCTATTCATCAATGGAATGTGAAATAACATGGCAGCCAGGTTTCACTTCTCCAGAAAGAGGGCACTTTATTCTTCATGTTGTTGATGGAAACACCTTAATGCTACAATGTGTTGCGAATGTAATTATTTCTCTTGAACATAATTTTTATTTTCATGCTTGTAACTATCGAGTATTTGCTCGTCTATACTTGAATATGTATCATATATATGTATAATTATATAATGTATGAAAAAACTTTTAATTAAATATTTATTTAACTACATTGCCTTAGATATTTCATGAATCATCTTGTCTACTACAAATGAAGACTTTAACAAAAAATTTTATGTTATTTAAAATGAACTCAGAAATCTAAGATATTTTTAAGACAATATTAGATTGTCAGAGACTCTACAAATACATAATAACATCATTTAAACCACTTAAAATTATTTTACTAATAGATAGCAAAGAAAAATAGAATTATATTTGGCCCTACTGTATTGGACTATTAATATTCTAGTTGCATTAGTTAATAATCCAACATAAAATGGATATGTAATTTACATTGCAAATAGACATTTTTATTTAAACAGAAAATACTTCTTTTGATAAAAATAAGGGGAAAGTTAAAGCTGCAATAGATAATTTTATAGTTTCTTTTTTTTGAGAGTATACTTTATTTTATTCCCAGTCAATGTTCTTGGAAATTTAAAACAATACAAATGCGTTTTACAGAATTCCATCTCTATCTATCTCTACGATATGATATTGCTCTTATGTGTTTTAGCTGGGAAGGATTGAAACCTAAGATATAAGAGATTTACCAACTGTGGTGATGGAAAATGACAGTCATAACACAGTATTCTTCTACTGCATATTTGAAGCAAGCTGACTCCTACTGGTTTTCCTTATGTATAAATTACTTAATATGGTTTGTAAAACAGTCTGTTGATGGATACGTACAGATTCAAGCACACTTAATCTTCACAAATTTAAAACACTTTTGTAAACCAGTATGAGTTCAGCAAGATCAAACACAAAACATGGTTAGTATTACAAAAGAACCACCCCTAGTTCATATTTCTCTCGGGGTCTCTTCCAGGGTCATCAGTTTCCTTACTTCTACAGGTATAGATTAATTTTGATTCTAAACTTTATAAATACATTTAATCAAATCTGTATATGCTTTTTCATATGTTGCTTTATTTGATCTCTAAATTTATGGGATTAATTTATGCTGGCATATGGTTGTAGATTATTCATTCTCATTCCTGAATAGTATCCAGTTTTATGACTTTACTATCACTTACCCTTCACACTGGTAATATGGATATGGGTTATTTCAAATGTTTAGCTACCATAGCCAGGCACAGTGATACATGCCCAACTACCCAGTAGGCTAATATAAGAGGATCACGAAATCAAGGCCAGCCTGTACAATTTAGCAAGATTTTATTGGGTGATTATAGAAAAAAAAAAGATCTGAGAGTACAACTCACTCCCCAGGTTCAATCACCAGTATCACAACAATCACTACAGAAAATTTAGTCATTATAATAATTTTACATTACCATTCTTAGGACTATGTTTTGGTGATATATTACAGATTTTAAAACTTATTTATGTAATCATGTTCAAGTTTACTATTATAGATTTGCTGATGTTCTCACTCTGCATATTTTTCTAATAGATAAAAGATGAACTAATTTAGAGTTAATAATTGATACCATTTATTGAGTAATTATTATGTATCTAGTACCATGCTGTTCATGTGTTAGCTAATTTAATCCCTATAATAACTGTATGACAAGTTTACCAGTGACTCAATTGATAAATGAAGAAAAAATGTTCTACAGTTTACTGGTTTGTGAAGTACTTTGTGTGGAATGAGGAAGGGGAGACCTGTGTCTGCATAGTTCTCTGAATCACAGTTAACTATGTCCTCATTCCTAAATAAACAAAATGTACATTATCAGCATTTTAAGCTCTATGAGAAAATTTCTAGTAGAAACATGCCTGGACAAATTCACTTGGCAACATGTTTCATATATTTAGGTGACCTTTGAACCCTCTTTTATATAGCATATAGTAATGCTCTGTACATAATTAAGGAGATTCTAAGATTCTTTCTGAGATTGATAAGTGTTTTTTTATTCCCAGATTCACATCTGCTATAGAATTATCTTAATTACCGTGTCTTCCTCAGTTTGAAAATACATTTTAAATATTCCATTTTATTTTTCTTCCTCTTAACACCACAATGCCTGAAAACACTTCATGTTTTAAAAATCAGCATGAAGATAAAAACTTGAGTTATTGGAATGCAAATATATTTTTTACCACTGGTGTTATTACTTTGTCCTTTTTGCCATGTGCGGTACTGACTTTTATTACAGTAAGGGTTTTATTTTTAGCTGTAAAGATACAACATTAGATTGATGCATCCAAATTATTAAATAGATTTATATGTATTTTGAAGTGTTGATAAATGTTATTTAACCATTGTATGACTCCATAATCACCTTAAAGATTGATTTCTTCAGCTGTGAAAAATGACAGTACCATCATCAATTTATCTAACAGTTAATTACATAGCCCACACTCTGTATCAGGCCTTGTGTAGACTTGGTATTTAAAGATAAGTCATATAGTTCAGCTGCCCTCTAGTTATTTTCTGGTCTGTTGGATCCTAGCAAAAATGTATATAAAGAACTAATATGCCTGGCTCATACTGGGAACACAATAAATATATTATTATCATCATAATTATTACCACCAAAATATCTAGATGTATTTGTCAAAAATGCTTAAAGAGCTAAGGCCTAAAAGTATAATTATGAGCAGTATAACCCAGTTACCAAAATAAAATTTCTCCTATGACATTATCACTGTAAGTTTTTTTTTTTTTTTTTTTTTTTTTTTTTTT